GGAAGTCTCTAATGGTTTCTAATGTTTATCATACTCTTTGGGCATTGGAATTTATTCTTGTCACATATAGAAGGGAATAAGTTATGGTTGTGCTAGAGTATATTAATCTGCATGCCCTGTGTGTTGTACGTATAAAAATGTGTTGATTAAAAGCCACTGGCTGCATCTGAAGCAAAATGCCAAACTCAGTCATGTTGCAAATGTGCAAAATTAAAACAAAATGTTTTCATAACTAATAAATAGAAAATAATTTTTTTGATTGGGGAGAATCATTAATATTTTAAGATAATGTTATAAAAGTACTTAGTGAATTAGAAATGTAAACTACGAAATTTTTAAATAATCACTCTTATTTACGAGTGGTGTGTCTTACCCTTTGGCAGTTGTGTGAAAATAAAATATTCACAACAGTATTTTTGAGCATCCATTCCAGACCATAATTTCTTTAGTTTTTGGTATGAGAGCACCACCTATGGGTTTATCAGGTATTTGGGGAGGAAATTTTAAGCAAACTAATAAAACAAAAACCGAATAAAATTCTTTCTAGTGTTTCCCATTAACTAGTCTCTCCATTTATTTAAAGGTTAAGAGTTATCAGCTTTGTCATAAGTTATTCCCACCTAGTTTTTGGATGTGTCCCACCGCTGTTCGATCAGCTAATAAATATTTGAGTACTTACATGCCATTACAGTATTATAAGTCAATTACAAGTTAAGTACAGATTAACTCAAAGTTGTATTGTTCTCTTTAATGTAAGTGAATCTTTTAGTCAAAACGAACAATTTTCTACTTTCTGGGGAAGAGGTCATGATAGTTTTTGCCAGTTTGTTTGTATGTTTGTATCATCACGAACTTAAGAATTCATTCTGTATATTGCTGCAGAATGCTTTGGCGAGAGAGATGAAGAAAGAAAAAAGGCCTTATAAATGACTTAGGGCACCTTTTCATTAATTATTATGATGATAACTCAGAGCAAAGTTGGAAGCAAACTCTGGCACTTCATTATTAATAAGCTCAACATAGAATCACATTTGGTACATTTAGTCTTTTTCTAAAGTATCAAATTAAACATTTTTGCAAGGGAAATTTTCCTCTTAATGAAATTTAACAACAACAAAAAATTCGAAGCTTTGATTGTGTCTGGGCAATTAAGATGTATGCTAGGCTCTTGATATATTATATCTTTGTGTTCTATGCCGTGAATTTCTGTGTTCGAAAAGTAATTAAAAACAAGATCCCTCTGGCAGTGTACCCTGGTTCCAGGCTAGACCCATTTTAGGCATGAACCTGCAGAGGTTTAAAACATCGATTGCATGTTTTCATCAGAGAATGCGTAATGCTGTAGAAGATTGACTCTGAGCAATATAGCTTGCTTTATTTTGATCATTATGGATAAAAACTTTGTAAAATACCCCTAGTATACTTCCTAGCATACTTAACTAAATTGAATAGACTATAATATACGCTGTTAGAAAAAACAAAAGTCATTTTGGCAG